ATCTTGAAAACGGGGAGCAAGCGCCGGGAAGAATCGGGATTCATTCTCTGATGGTTTGGATCAGGGCGGAGGTCCTGATTAAGCCCGGGAGCGGAAAATTCGTGAATCCCCGCTGCTTGCATGGGTCGGTTGAATCGGTCTGATTTTCGCATGGAGATTAGAGGCATGGAAGCGGATGTATGAACGGCAGTTTGCGTTCGCTAGAGCGGCCCTCTCTCTAGGGTATACAGTTACCCTTCAAACTATACCTCAACGCTCCGCAGCCCACGAACCGATAAGGATCTCCCGAAGATGAGGTTCGTGAGGTGTTCTTCTTCGGAGTGCAATTCTGGATTGAGCTGAGAAGTCATCGCCTACAGATTCTTCTCGCTGTCAGCCGTGCTTCCAGCGATCGGAAATGAAACGGAACGGCGAAGAAACATTTTTTCCCGACAGGAAGCTCTGATTGACAAGCCTTCGCGAAATCTGTGAAAGAAAATCAGAACTCACGATGCTTGCTTCCGATCGCGCGATTGGACATGTCGAACGAGGATTCGGAACGATCGTTCCTCATTCTACTCTGACATGGGATGCGACGTAGTAAAATGGGAAGTTTCATCACGGAGATTCTGGAGCGATCTCTTAAAGGCTGACTTATGCGAAAAGTCGTCTCCGGATTGCGAATTTCAAGGACTCCTCAATTATCCACCTCAGATATCAACAATTTCGAAGCAGTGCAGATCTTGAAGCGACGGTCGAGCTCCTGCGGAGATTTGCGCGCGAAAACGGAAACGCTCGTCCATGCGAGAACGAGAAGCTCCTGTGAAACACATTTATCGTGACTCGGGATTTTCCAGAAAGACAGGCATGTGCTTGGCAGCGTGCGAATACGAGTCGAGGAGTTGTTCACACTTGATGATCATGGAGTGAGTTGGAAAGGGTCCCGCTTGAAGCTCATGGCGAGCTCGAGCCACCGGCACGCGATACCCGCACACAGTCACTGCCGTACAAGCTAGATTTGGATTATCTCGTATCCGAAGAGTTCTCGCATCCCGATCTCGTCATCGTTCCTGTAGGAAACTCCGCTCCGCAATGCGTATGACTTGCGCATGGCTCGGTGAAGCATATCATTCTTCCGGGCTGAGAGATTCTCATTGCGGTGGTGCACCTTGAGCCAATGACTGACGATGGCTGCGATTTTGTAATTTTCACAGGAGCTCCATATTCGAGAGACTCGGTGTCAGGCCCATTTGAAGTAGCGCGCCATCAATATCGTCAGCTAAGCGCGCGTGAACAAATAAATGGAAGTTCAGTCGGGAATACGGATCTCACACAGAAATGTCGTGTCTTCATTTGAATCGCTTCCCAGTCTAAACCTAACAACATTTGGCGACGAAGACGGAATCCCCTTACTCAGTGACTGCGGGGTGATCGTAAGGAAGAAATTTCATCGAAAAAGGAATTGTTCGGGGCATGGCAACTCCATCAAACTTCCACGTGGGAATCGCGGTGTTCTCGGAGTTCCAACCGGACTCTGAAAGATGATCTCTTTGGGTCTCGCGTTTGAAAAATCATCTACTCCAATCAGCGACGGATGCTCAGCGGCAACGATGTGCTTCGGTCGCTGACATGGGACCAAGAGCTTTTCGCCGACTCCATGACCAAATTCGTCCTGAGAAGACACCGGATGACCTGAAATTCGATGAAATAGTCAAAATTGTGGGAGTCGCGTTCGAGCCAGAAAGGAACCAATGGTGAGTTCGAATCGAGTTTCGAAAATCTCGGCAGCTTTCAGGGGGAACCCTGTCCGATTTCGAGGGTCGCTTGCGAAGCCTAACGAAGGACTGCAAGTGGACAGCGAGTGAGCTTCGAAGCAATCTCATCGAACAATTCATAATGGGACTCGACGGAAAGTCTATTCGACAATCGATCCGGACAAAGACGACCGTTTTCAAGGATTTGTCCGAAGTCTATGGCGTGGCGCAGAGTCTCCAAAATGCCCAAAGTACGACCGGTGCGATGAATCCAGGAAACGTATTCGCGCTATCCCATAGAACATTTGCACGAGGTAAATTCGGCAAACCTACATTCGCTAAGAAGGAAAAACCCCAGAACGGCAAGTTCCAGAGGAAATTGTCAGCCTGTCATCGTTGCAATGGAAAAGATCATTCGGCGAACTCCTGCCGATTCAGAACGTCCACGTGCAAGCATTGCGGACTCGTCGGCCATCTTCAACAGGCTTGCCGTAAGACGAAATTCGCTCTGAATCATTTGGAAGAATTTGAATTTCATCACATTACTTCAATGGGGCCGAGCTTCATCGAAGTCAAACTGGGGAATCAACCTGCGCAGATGGAAATCGACACCGGTAGCGCGAACTCCACCATGGCACTCCAGAAGTTCCGAGATTTGCTCAACCGATCGACATACAGCTGAGTACTGCTACCGAGGAAAGATTCCAACCAGTCTCTTTCGTCGAAGTGGATGTATCGTATGAGAAAGTGAACAAACGACTCCGACTCTATCGGTTCGGGGAGCGCTCTTTCCCATCCCTCATCGTTCGGGATTGGCTACGTCGACTCCCTTCAGCTTGGACATAAAAAATCTCATCCAAGAAAGCAGTACCGTGCAAGCAGGTTGCGGCAACGTCCTATAAGTTAGAGGCCGAAAATCTCCTCAGAAAATACCCCAACCTGACTAAGCCAGGCATCGACTGCATACCTAACGCCGAAGCCAAGGTGGAGCTAAGTGCGGAAGCAAAGCCGTATACTGCAGAGCAAGGCCACTCAGAGAGATTCAACGATCAACGCGAGTGAATATCGGCGGGGTGGGCGGTCCTCGGATGGATGTTCAGGAACACGGTGGCCGTGCGCGAATATCTGGGTGGTCACCATATACGGTTCCCTGAAGATTTCCGAGGGAAACTTCCCGGGAGACGTATTCCATCCCTGGTTTTTCTGGAGGGCGGGGAATGCAGTCTATGGCTTTTCAGATACCGGCTCACTCAATCGGAGATTGTCTCGAGCAGATCGCGAACTGAACGTCGTAATTTTGAAAGTGTTACGCCACTAGGAATGCGCAACAAACTCCGAGACTTGGCGGGATTCCCACCCGAATATTGCCCCATTTGCGCGAATAGGAGTCGGGAACGGGAGCAGCAGGCATTCTGTGATACTATCATCTCGTCATTTTGCAATCAAGCTCCTCGAAAAGTCTCATCGGGCCCAACGACCGAACGCCCTGAATATTCTTTCACAGGCAGCTACCACGATGGGATCGGTCTATAATATAATAATTAATCGCGATGAAATCGAAGACACGTTGGAGCGAGAAGCGTGGAGAGAATATCTAGACTGAACGGAGGCTCGCTCGATCCTGTCGCAGCTTCTGGAAGCAGGAACGCGAACTAGAGATGGCGCATCTATCCGCGGCACATTCTTCACAATGCACGGTCGACCGCTAAGCTTCTCGGGGTGAAAATAAAGACTGTTACCGAGCGAGCGATGAGAGCCAGCTGTTGTCTCAGCGCGTCTTCCGGGGATTGTCGGCCATCACAGTGCCTTGCAATCGGTGTTTCCGGGGCGACTGTCTTCATTGCCGGTGACTACACGATCGGTGGCTGCTCGGCGGGCATGTTTGCGGCCCGGCGGCAGGATGAAGTAACTGACCCATTTTTAGCATAAGCTGGGGACATCAACGATAGTCGAGCGGCCGCCGCTACCGGGACCGCCGCCGGAGAGTCTTCCATGGGTCCAACCCTCTCGAAGTTCGTCGTCTCTGCAACGTCTCATTCGGCCCCTAGTCCCTCAATCTATACTCTCGCTCTGACGGTAATTAATCCCGGAGATTCGGACAGGGCGCCTCAGCCGGCGAGTCGCAATTTCACGGCAGGCTTGATCGACTGTACCCCAAGATCCACATGGCCGGCGAAATTCACGCGAGCCGTAGCAACAGCTCGAGAATCCTTCTGAATCGACGCACGTTGCAAATCTCGTCCACGCGAGCGTTTTCGCTTCTGGTGCGATTCTGAGAGCTTGGGGAGCCGAACTCCGGTGCGAAACGCTGCGGCTCACACCACTGGCCCAATGCATCCGGCGGCATCATCTCACAATCAGAAGCCCCGCCGGTGAGGGGCTAGCTCGCGAGAAAACTCTTATCGTATGACAATATGCGGCGATGTGAACTCTCGGAGGAGAGTATGAATGATCCCTCTCGGGTGAGGCTGCAGGGTGCGGAGACGGGCATCCAAAACCCACCACACAGCCATTCAAGCTCAAGATCGGGCAGCTTCGAGCTGGCAGCGCCGCAGTCTCGGGGAGCATCAGATCCCAGATCCCATGGTCTAGAAGTCTAGATCAGTGCGAGTCGGTATTCAAGCGTATTTCTAAGAATTCTAGGGTAATGGATGGATCGACTGAGGTTCGACCGGCGCGCAGCGATATAGTCCGAGGATCCACCTATATATGTATATAGGGCTGTGGAGTATGGATTGGCACTCCTTGAAATGCTCACATCGCTCCTTTTAAGGTCGGCTTGCGAAGATAGCGAATCTCACTCCTCCCGCAAGTCGTCAGGCCCATCAATATATAATCGACAGCCACAACACACCCCAGCTCTGAATCTCATCGGAACTTCAGAGGCGCCGCCTCGGAACTTCGGGACTCATAACTTTGAGCCGCGCTCCCGGGCGAGTCTATGAGAACCAATACCCTCGCACCTAATTCTTAGAGTGGCAACTAGACAGAGGGGTTTATGCGCCTTTTTCTATGTACATAGTCTACGCAGTCCGTCTCCCGACGGATAGGTACGTGAGAACATACGAGACCTCGCAAAGGGTTTCATCTTCGCTGCCCCCAGAAGTATTACTTGTGTGCATCTCTAAATACATTACAGTTATCGTGCGACGTGAATATGTTCTCCAGGGTGGTTCCAGCTCTGCGCTGGTGTACGAAAGCTGCACATGATAATTGTGGAAGAGACTGTCTTCTGAAAACCTTAACATGGACTTTCCTTGCTTGCAGCGTATGGCGTCTTTGGACATGGAGCCGACCCAGAGCTGGCTCCCTCTGCCCGAAAAAGATCCGCGGGTCGCCGGATGGCTAATGTTGGGGAATCCCACCCCGATTGTGTCGATCCTCGCCTTCTATGTTTACATCGTGAAGGTCAGAAACCCTTCCATTCCGGAATTTCACTGGGACGACATAAGTGAGAAGAGTAATTTTGCTCTTGTGCTCGGAATACGAAGTTTTGAGTAACAATGGGAACATTTGCTAGGTTTTCGGCCCGGGCATGATGAGGAACGCCAAGGCTTACGAGCTCCGTCCGGTGATCCTGTTGTACAACGCGGCTATGGTTATCGCGAACTTGTCGATATCCACCTACGTTATTTACCACGCATTCTGGACAGGTGAGATTCTCATCACTAAACGCCATGACTTCCAGCTTCCATCGTATCCGCTCATACGTCAGCCTCGCTTGGCGACTCCCCGCAATGAGGCCAATAAGCTCCGATTGAGTCGGAATTCCCAGGCTCTACCGGGAACGGTCAATCGTTCCAAGCATGCCTTCGTCTCCTCATGTTCGCGCGAATCGAGAACTCGAAGGGCAGATTTTACGTTGCGGGCCTCGCTTTGGCAGAAGTCCTCCTCTATGCGGCGGATGACTGCGGGGAGTCAAGTTTCAGAGATGTACTACGAGGTGCGAGGCTCTCGAAAAAAGACACGCCGTATAATTCCGAATTCGCGCCTTTTGACTTTTCTGAGTGGCTCGGTCTCGGGGTTATTTTTCACCCGCTGCGACGCATCCGCAAACGAGCTCGCTCTGACGCACTTGGAGTGATTCTCAGTGGAATTCTGGAATGACGTGATTCGCTCCTCCATGCAGTCAGGAACATCAGCTACGAATGGCTTTTACCAATCCATCAGAAGCTCGGAAATTTCGAATGCCGTCACGGTCTCCGAATGGAAGCCTCATTTTCTGTTCACTGACATCTCCAACTAAAGCAGTCCATCACCGATGGCGGGAACGAGATGATGTTTTTTTTCCTCAAGACCGCATTCGAGGCTTATCATAATTCATTATCCGTTATATTGCTATACGAACAAGGACAGGCTCCTCGTGACGAGTCTTGATCCGCTTCAGGTCACTATGCCATGTGGTTCACTACGCCGGACCGCGGAGATCACCCCACGACACTCCTGCTGCTGAACGTGTCCTGGTATTACCTCGTCCTGCGCTTGACGGAGTGCATTGAAACTGTGCTTTTCGTCCTGAGGAAACGTTTCAGACAGGTAAGATACGTACTCCAAGATTTTCCCTCGCTCTTCCGAACCGAACGAGATATGCCTCTAATGAATCATGGATTTCGCCGCAGGTTTCCACTCTACACGTTTTCCATCACGTCTCGGTCACGTTTTCGGTTTACTTCTACATCACCTATGGGGGTTTCGCCCTTGCGTGCTTTGAGCTCACTTTCAATGCCTTGATCCATGTTGTGATGTACGGCTACTACTTCCTGTCCGCCTGCGGCCCTTCTATCCAGAAATACCTCTGGTGGAAGAAATACCTTACCACTTTGCAGCTCGTTCAATTCGCTATCATGATCGCACGTAACATCATGCTCGTGTTCTGGCTCAATAACAGGTAAGATTTCCGATCCATATCCCCGCCTGAGACGAGGAATCCTCTTGATAGGACCCGCGCACCCAATGTTTTCGAGCGAGGAGTAGCAAAGCCTGGGAAAGTCTCAGTGGTCCAAAAACAGAACCCACGCGGCTGAATCCCTGCCTGGATTCACTGCACCCAAATGTCGGGAGCGGTCGACAGGCAGGTCGATCGCCGTCTCATTGGATCCGCGTCAGTTATACCGCGATACTCCGAGATATTTCTGTCGCAGCCCTGCCGTCGAGAAGACGGGTGCAAGGAAACTCGTAGGAGCGGTCCTGGACGCATCAGTCAGGGACGATGAACTCGGGACCGCTCTTGCGCGTCTCGCTCATGATTGGGCTGCTTCGGTCGCGTATGCGCTCGCTCCGTTGAGCGCATCAGAATATGATCTCAATGAAGAACCTCGTGGAGAATGATTGCGCGACTGGGTCCGAATGCGACCGACGGAAGTTTCCTTCCCAAAGAGATCGAATTCATCTCTCAAAAGAATGAGCTCTGAGCCTGTTCGTAAGAACAGGTTATTGGTGGTTCCAGCGGAGCTAGCCTAGTCGGGGGATAAATATTCATCGTGATGTCGAAGGCCGCAACGAGCACAAACAGTGCTGATTCACTCCGGAGCAGGAGTTCTGGTGCGGGCCCCTTCGGGCATTAGCGATGCAGAAGACCTTCCACATCGGTCAAGCAATCCGCATCGGGAGATTTGGCTTGCAGGCCGCATCCGCAACGAGCTAGCTCCAAGGGTGAACCAGTACCGCTTCGTCACGAAGCTTTGACTCTGAGCGGAACTCATTTACGAACCACCCCTTCATGGGAATTTGGGACGATTTCGCTTCCATTCGCTCGAAGGAAGAGCAGGGAATTCCTCTCTCGATTCGAAATCCGGAATCTCGACCGGACTCTGGCTCACGGTTCTTCACGTTGAATTGTTCGGGATATTCTCTCCTCGCTAATATCGGGATAATTGAGACCCCCCCCCCCATCATAAGATCCAAGAGGAGAAAAATTCATGAACGCTCCATTCCTCTTCCAGATACTCCGCATTGCCCGCATTCATGTTGTTCCAGTGCTTCGTCTTCTTCCTCCAATTCTTCCACTTCTACATACAGTCATACCGTCAGAAGCGCGAAGAGAAACTCCAGAAGCGGGCCGCTCAAAAAGCAGCGCAGAACAACAACCTCGATGAACGGGTAGACGACAAGAAGAGTCTTTAGTGAATGATTGAGGCTGTTGGTTAGCGCAACTAGTCTTAGCTCGTCGGATACCTCATGTTCAAATTAGGATGGCTCACGTGAGCTGACTCATATTGGTTAAAGGATATATACAGTCGAATCCACCCGGAACAACCGGACGGCTCGATACCGTCTTCTGAGAGTGCTACTAATCGAGACCGATGAAGTGACGCCGTTCGGATTGGCGCTGGCTCGACAAATTTTGGCTTCAAACTCCGAATAGCTCTCTCTCGCTAGCTCAAAGTCTAATCTGCTTCCTCGACAGACTCGGAGCCTGAATTCGGCTCCATCGGAGGAAACGATAGATAAGTTAGTGACAGTGATGCCCATGAACCAGATATCTTACAATTTTAATTTACCTTTTTGCCTTCAATAACTCTAATCCTGAAGAGGCTCAAAGCAGCTCACGACAAAATTATCTGTACATACACTCACTCGCGAGGTGGGGGATCGGTTGGAAATATGGTGAAGTCTGCTTTTCGATGGACCGGCGATGATGAACGCGGAGACGACCCTGGAGAGGATATGTAAATAAAGACAATATAAATAATTATAACAAAACCGATGCACCGCCGGCGTAATTTTGTTTCAATCTATATCCTATACATCATAGTGTATGATATGCAATCAATGTCGTCCCTTGGACAATAATCTCTGTATTTTTGTTGTTCTCAAAGCGCTCCTGCATGACGACGACTCGATTATCGCACTCTTATGTTGAGACACGACGCTTCGGGCTAGCTGGTCGATCAGACCGTCGAACTTTGCGGTTTTCGCATACTCCCTGACAACCCTTCTCCTTCAGTTGTACAGCTACGGAGTGGGAATAGTTGCATCACTCGTCAGTATCGATTATAGATCATCACGGCGCGCGTCGATCCGAAGAATCATGATCGAATGTCGAAGTTTGATGCAGGTTTCCCTCAAGCGGAAGAAAACCTCTCATCGATCGATATTCGTCATGAGTCATAATTAACTTCATGACTCATGAAGTGAATTGTCTGCTACGATGTGACGTTCAGGAGAGGAATCGTAGGCGAGTCAGGAAGAGGTTCACTCCGGCGATCCTTGAGCAGTACCTTGTTCCCTCGAAGAGAGCGAGGGAGTGAGTCACAGCCTTGCAGAGTCAGAGAGTTTTAATTCCGCTCGGAACCGGACAGGTGAAAAGCCACTCTCGGCCTTACTCAACTTGGTCGAATTCAGCGAGAAGCTACCTAATTTTGTAAGACCTAACTCAGGGGGAAAAGAAGTCGTGGGAAGGTGGTCCCCGGCTCGTTCAGTTGGAGTCTCAGGAAGAGGGCGTCCGAAGAGGACAAATTATGATGAACTAGCGTACCCTGCCGCGCTTCGCTGCGGCTCAAAGCATTTTGCCGTGAATTTCCCGAGAGCAGCCCTCTTCCATAGTAGAAGCCTTCCAATAGGAGCCACCCTGTCAGAGCTCCTGGGAAAACGAAAGCCCCCCTCCAGAAGAAGCTCCCGGACTTCAAAGTCGGCTAAGAGGCGAAGCTGACGTGCCCGACGTCGGAACATCGGCGCCCAAGCATCTTCGCCTGAAGGAGTCCTTCCGGGACGGCCGCTAACGTGCATTGATTTCCGAGCTCTATATCGAGAACACTCATTCCCCCAGACTTCCATAGTCACTGATCACTTTTTCCGACGCGAAATTTTCCTTGAAATATTGTGAGGCACTCTCCAATAGAAGCCCCAACCGGTAGCATTTGAAGATATGGAAGACCGGGTAACTATTAGGAGATTTATGGTATGGTCTCCGTCGATCTCCGATGCTCGTTTCCTTCTCGGACATGTGCCATGATCCATGATATTTGCGGTGCTTTCGTTAGCTCGTTTTCTGCTATTTTGTCCGAAGTTCACGCATTATCAGAATCTGACATCGAAAAATCAGCTTCACCCACCTGCGCATCATATGCCTCGAGGATTCATCTCCAAACATGAACATATATGATGCTCATATAAATCCGATCTTGATTCCCTGACTCTCGAGCCTGAACGGGCACGATAACCGCGAGAGCGATACGACTCCCGTTTCGACGGTAAGAATTTGGCCCCCGTTCCCGATTCCCTGACTCTCAAGCCTAACGGGCACCACACACACACCTTTGGTCTCACCATCCGGTTTATGCCGAAAGCATTGTTCTGAGTCCGAACTTCGGACATCATCAGAATCCCATACCGAAACATTACACATCACACTCACCCACCACCACATCATGTACCCCGACGATTCATTTCCAACCATGAACAGATGATGCTCATATAAATCTTCAATCATTCGAAGATAAACGGGGTCTTTTGTCTCACTATCCGGTGCGTACACAACAAACCAATCCGATGATTCACCGACACGTGAACATTCTACAAATAGTCATCCGTGCGATGTGAGCATGGATTCTCGAAGATCAGGCCGCATGCCTGCAATTATTGACCTTGTGCTTTATTGACACGCACGGGAAGCACGGCAAATCGCAGCCGTTTGAACCCGAAATTTGTCGGTCGGTATGATCGAGAATTCCGCCCTCAAATTTCCCACACAGAATCATCACCATTTCTAACCTGCGCCGCATGCTCTCCAGGATTCATTTTCGATTTACAACTCACGACAGGATGAACATATGATGCTCATGTCACCGACATCGACAACAGCGAGTCGACAACATGAAAAAAGGTGTATGGAATCAAAATCGAACGCAACACAGAGCGATTCGATTGTCCGTGAGCCATTCGCCCTCATCGCACATCACTCTGTCTCTGTATGCCAGGCTTAAAGTCCGCTGCTCCGCAGTCTCAGCTGAGCGGCTTTCAAGTTTCAAGAGACAAAACGCGGTGCATCCTTGGCCTCAATTCTCGATGCTCAATATCTTCGATGGAAATCGAAGAAAGAGCACGCGCGTGGACGGCCCCCCTATCTCGATTCCCGGACTCTCAAGCCTGGACGGGCACGATGACCGCGAGAGCGATGAGACTCCCGCTTTGACCGTAGGGAGTTGACCCCCGATGTCCCCGATCTTGATTCCGACCCTCAAGACTTCACGGGGACGATGAAACGAAGAGAGCGATCGAACTCCCGTTACGACCCGTTCGGTCGTGTAAGGTTGCTCGCTACCCCTCACCGAGCGGATTGTACCGCTCGAGAAACGCAAAAAAAGACGACGATGTTGAGCCAAATGCGACAAAAGGCAAAATTGGGGGATTTGGGGAATCAAAATCCGGGTTTTGACCGTATACGAACCATCCCGCAATGGGTATGGTTAATTTTGTCAAGTTCAATGAGAATCCGTTCAGCAGTTTTGGCGAGCATAGGTAACATAGAAGCCCTGCGGAGATTTTTATATATATAGATAATGCTGGCCTAGAGGGCGCGACTTTGTGTGAAGCATCGGGAGGAGGCTCCTGCAAGCACAACCGAACTATTCTCTGCGGTGCGGCGGACGCTCCGATGCTTTGCGAGGAACGGGGCTGATTATTATTCGCTCCCCTATATCTTTCCCCTACTGAGTCGGAAGCGAACACATTTTTCACTGGGAACCATGCAGGGTACTCCTTCGGGCGATGACGGACATCCCTAGAAGTCGGCAAGCGTATTTCGCCGCGGCTGAAGCCGGTTAGTGGAGCACGGTGTCACGGCAACCGATCCTAGCTCCCAGCGTTCCCTCTCAGGGCTCCACCGCTTTTGACGGATCCCAGCTTTCCCGGACGCGAAGCCAAACACCAAGATCCAAGTAGGAAGAATCCACCTCCATCGTATTATCCCGCTGCGCGACGAGAAGAGCACTCGTATTCCTCGCGGGCGTCGTCTGCTGTGAGTATCTATTTATAAACATTCACATGCTTTCGTGGAGCGCGGAGCGGAGCTCCAAATCTGGGTTCTTAGTGACTTCGATCCTATCGCATGAGTCTCTTCTTGAGTGAGCAATTGTTATAGGCCTCCGGGAGGGCCTTGGAAGAAGATGAAATCTGGGACAGGCAAGACTCACCATGGTGAGAGGTGCGCGACCGTCTCGATTCCTCGGGAAACTCTCACGGAGTCCTTCCGGTCAACAAATTCACTCCCTCAGTCTCAATTCCGAATCACCGATTCATAATTTACGGCCGTTCCAATATAATTCCAGTGAGGGGAGCAAGGGCTCGGCAGAGGTTGCCATGAGAAGACCCTTACCTCGTTTGTATGTCGTTGCGACCAAAGTCTTGGAAGCACGACTCGAAGGCAAGGAACAGCAGCAGTCTTTTCTCTTTCGACAAGACAAAGCCCGGGATCTCAGAAGAATAAAACGGCTGGTTTGTTTGGTGAGTAGCCCGCGGCTGAAAAGTTACGCTATTTCGAAGCTTATAGCGCCGTAAATCTCGGATCATGGAGCGTCAAGAGCTTCAAGATGTCGCATTGTTTACAGGCTCAGGAGAACTTCGATCAGTTGACGGAGTCGTTGGAGAGAGCTGGTTTCAGCTTCGAAGTCTGCGATAAAAAGTAAGTCTTCTCGAGCCACGACCGAGATCTCGAATCCGATATCATGATCGTGGTCTCCATGTACTCAAAAATTTCGTGAAAACAGGCTGGCAGCGATCGTCGCCGCAGACGTGGCCTTCTCCTCGCCGGAGTACCTCCCGAAGAGCTCGAACCACAAAGTTAAAGAAATTCTGAGATACCAGGAAACTTTGCGGAGTCTCGCACATGCGGCTAAGATTTATCCAGCTGCTCAGGTAAATTTCAGGAGAAGTGAAGGTCAGCCCTTCATTCCGGCGGGCAAGTTATATATCCGAATACCTATTTTGTGCTCTGACGATGAGCCCAAGATGAGCGGAGGGATCCTATGTCTCCTATATTCTCTTTACGGAGCTGAAATAATCCTCCCGATTCGCAGATTCCCCGCATCCGATACGCGATCCTCAACCGTCTGAAGATAAGCCAATCAACACTAGGAAAAATGCTCAATAAATTAGGATTCATCGAAAAAAAATTCGAAGCGCCTCCCGGAACGACACCAGGTATGTCGCATGGCCTCGAGGAACCGATATTCGCGGGATCGACGAGGCCGAAAGCTGACAGTAATATGTTGTTTCGCAGATGCGGTGATCGAGAGCTACTGGAATCATCTGGACAACCTCCGAGCGTCGGAATACTCATGGGATATTCATTTTCCTGATGATGTCCTCGTTTTTAGTTCGAAGGGAGATATCCACATGAAGAAACTCGTTCTCGAGTGGAAGCAGCTGCTGATGTTCAATAAATCTGTGATGGCTCCCGTTCAAGCTCTCGACCCGAAAAACGGTTCGACTCTGCCCCTCGCCCTGCCGTTGAGAGAAAGAAATTGAAAATGCGAGATATCCTCCTCTTGGGCCCGGATGACCCTCGGAAATTTTCGTCAAAATGCCTCCGCTCTCTTCTCTCAGGTGATACAGTACTGGATACTTGTGCGGCTCCGGGGAACAAATCAGTACTTGCGGCTCAGAGCTGCAGTGGTCTGGTGTCTTGCGAGCGCAACAACAAACGGTAACTACTGCGAACGCCTGCCGCGATGATGGACTGATGATGTCCCCAGACACCTCTCTGATAACAAGAGACGAAACCTAATGGACTTTTTTCGCCTCTCAGTTTCAAGTTGCTGGCGGAGAACCTGGAACTTAGCGGAGTTACTGGCAAGCGGAGGTGCGAAGTCATACACAGCGACTTCTTGAAGATCGACAATTCGGATCCAAGATTGATCAAGGTGACGAAGGCGCTTGTGGATCCAAGTTGCTCCGGTGGCGGGGATTTCGACCACACTGTGAGTCAGTCGATAATAATGAGTCGGTCTGAGTCTCGATCCGTACCTTCCAGACATATTGAATCGAAATTTGACATATTGTGGTGTCTTCATGGTATTGCTAATACCGATTCATGCATTTCCGCAGCTAGATCAATCGAGAGTGGAAAAACTAGCCAATCTACAAACAATGATCCTGAAAAAAGTCTTGCGCTTGCCGTCGCTGAGGACCGTCGTCTACTCTACCTGCTCATCGTGCGTGAGATCTCCGTTGACACCCTCTGCTGTGGAAATTTGTTCGAATAACTACATGCCATGTTACTCAAGTGGGATTTAATTCCTTCCCACAGACAAACCAGGGAGAACGAGGGTGTCGTCACGGAAGTCTTGGAATGGGCGGATGGGCAACCTGAAGAAAATGGTGAGTTTCAATCTATCACAAATCTCTTCAAATTGTATTCGCAGCGTGACCTTCATTCATCTGTAGCCCACAACCTTCTCCCGGGCTTTCGGGTAGCAGTATATGTATATCCCGAGGAGCTTACCCTGGAATAATCGAATCTCCGGTTTCTGCTTGCAGGCCAGTGGGTTCTGGAGAAAGCTTTGCCGAACTTACCGTTCCGCGGCGACGAAGATTTTTTTCCTGGAGTCGGGGACAAGTGTCTATTCTTCAATCATGAACGATCTCGCACCTCGGTCCAATTTGTTGCCAAGTTCGTGCGAAAGCTCAGAGGGTAAGTAGCCCGTTGGGATTCGATGCGCCGAATCGGGGCGAGATAGCAGAAAAGACTTCCCGAAGTTCCCGTGAAACCGACCAAGCTCATGGATCACGCACTAGAGGCGATTCCCGGATCTTCTTCGGCGAGGAATGACGAGCTCTGATTCCAGGGAAACTCGGATGGAGATCAAGAAGAAGTGCCGTCTGGAGACGAAGAAGAAGCTGAAACGTCTGAAGCAGAAGCGACGGAAACACCAAAAGGAGAAACTGAGTAAAGAGGCGAATAACAAGCGCTCAGATCACGGTCGACGGAGCATCAAATAAAAAAATTCTACAATTCCCGACCTAGTCTGCATGAGTGTCAGAGTGGAGTCGTTGCGGGAATATGGGTACCGTGTTTCTCCGACCGAACATTTTTCTAGACTGATAGTTTCTCGTTCCCTGGGCTCCAGCTCATTACCATAAGATGAAATGAAAGAGTACATCACGATTCCCTGCTTTTATTGAGAGGATTCGGTTCGATATTTCACCAAAGAGCCGTGGTGATGGACCGCGCAGTCGCTTCGACCATGAAAGACTTGCCATCTAAGCCTTTTATCAAAACTTTCTTCACTGAATCGTTCCTATTCAAAATAACTGTCGCCTTGAGCTTGTCAGGACGGAGGAAAGTCACAACAGTCAATTTCTCCTGGGAACCGTCGAGAGCGTCGTCTAATCTGACCTGCAACGAATGAATCAGTAGCTTTAGCAGCGAATTCAGGTCGCGTCGAGGGATTATGAGTAGGAGTGGCCCCAATACGGGAAGTGAGATTCCTCCGCAGATTTTCGCGATATCCCTGAGCGATTCTCCAAACGGGCTCAATGAAGCCGCGAAACCGGCAGGACTTTACATCCCTGAATGTTATGAGTCTATCAACGACAGGAGATTCTATCTGCGAGAAAGACATCGGGTATCGCTCCCGTGGCTCCCCCCCAAGGCGCTGCCGGCATGGTTCTGACTTACCGATCCCCTGGGGATGAATTTGCTGAAATGAGCGATCGCGTAATACGTCGGCTGCTTATAGAAGGTCGAAGTTTTCGTATCCACAATAATGGCCGAATCCACGCGATTCCCTGCCCAGTTAGGGCCTCCCTCAGTGTTGAGGAACAAATTCCAATCAACCCAAGCATTCACATGGTGCCGGAGATCTTCGAGGATGTCTCGAGCGTACGCCTCACCGCGCTCCCAGCTCCCTGGAAATCGCGACTGCGGTGACTAGCCGTCCGAATAATCGACGACGGCATCCAGATCCTTAGTGACATCAAATTGTATAGAATGTTTGGAATCATCGGCTCCTTCCATAATAATCATGCTTACCCAGGATCACGGGTGTGATCAAGAACTCGAAACCCTCGCAGGCCTCGGTATTCACGATGATCTTGTCCCCGAAGTCCCTGTGGATGCTTTCCAAGTCCGAGCTGTTCCTCAGGGTATCCGTGTACCAATGAACCGCGAGGCCCGCCGCGTATCGATTCGCCTCCGGATCGCTAAAGATGACATTCGCCCACCAGGGCAAGACAACACGGTTGTCGTCTAGGACCATGATATTGATCGAGTTGCTCGTGGCCTTGAAAAGCGCGGGACCGAGGTCTTTCTTAAGGAAGTCACGCTCGGTGTAGGGGCTCATGGCCACGGTCTGCCAAGGCCATGGCTTGAATCCTGTTGTCGGCTCGTTTTGCACCGTGAAACCCCACATTGTGATCCCATGCTCCTTGTACGACTCGTAGAACTTCACGAAGTAGTTGGCCCACGACTTGAAGTATTGCCCTCCGGGGGATCCTTTCAGAGTGCCCTTGCCATACGTCTTTTCATTCGTCTTCATCCAAGCAGGGGCCCCCCATGGAGATCCGAAGAAGTATATCTCCTCCTTACTGACGTTCTTCGCGAACTGAATCATCGGAATCTTCAGTTCGAGGTCTTCTTTAGCGAGAGCGAAGTTCTTGAGTTCGAAGTCTCCGGGCGTGTCGGCGTACGTGTAGTCTCTCGTTGAAAAATCACAGGCAGCCATCGGGATGCGGCCCATGTTGTACTCTAAGCCCTCTGGCCCATAATAAGATTGTAGGAGTCGTTTTTGGAGGGTCGAACCCAACCCAGCCCAGTGAACTCCAGCGGCATCCGTGAGAGCTCCGCCGAAACCTATTATCTTCTGTAGATGTGTGTTGATGAGGCTCACGGTCAGATCTCGCTCAGCGGCGGGAGCACCGGAGAGGAAGTCCACCGTGCTCCTCTGGAGACGCTCGCCAGACATCGAACTCTGGTAGAGCGCAATTTTGCCATCTTCCGCTTTCACTTTCCCTATATCACCACAGTTGTTCTCGTTGCAAACACAAACGACAGAAGAGCTGTTGAACTTTTTGGGATAACAGTTTTCACCTGTAACCGAGTTCAGAACGGAGAGCAGAAGCACGGTGATGATGAATCGTCGCATTCTCAATTCTGCTTGCGACCCTCTTAGGACCGTCCGGACGACTTCTCCGTGATGACGCCTCAAGGAGACATTCGCAACGGTCGCTAGGATCGACCGAATGTAGAGGCCAGTTTTATTGGGCAATCTCGATCTGCTAGACGAGGGATTAGCCGCGAGATTAGAGAAGCCTTCCACGGTTGGGAAACTCAGCAGACTCGAGTGGACAAAATCAGTGCGCTCCGCCACGCCTACTGGGAACTCCCGATGCCTATGGAGTCTGCGAATCGAAATCATTGTCAGTGGGCATCACACTCACCTTGAATGGACATAGTCGCAAATCTGTTTATCCGACCGCAGAAGGGCCGTGGCACCCAACGATCCGAGAGCGGGATCATCATTTGATCATTGCTCAAGGTGAACTCTGCCCGAGGTATCGAGGCAGCCGCTCTCGCTGCCTCTCAGGGACAATGGAATCTGGTCCCGGATAGGGCACCAAATGCTCCTCAGCAAACGAGGAGCGACCGGCAGTTTCATCTCATCGAGGTTGAGGAGATATCAGTACAGGTGGCATCCGGGTCCTTGACCCGCGGGAAGCTCCCCTCTAGCGTGACGATTTCTCAAGGGAGCGGATGTTAAGTCAGAAAGTTACATGTTCCGTCGTCGCTGGGGATATAACCGGTTCTGTCGCATCGGCATCTTGCCACGCCAAACGACTGCTTGCCCATTCGCTCGTTTGCGTGTCGACTCCTATCGCGCTAGTTCTGTCCTAGTCGCTTCGTGTACGCTCGCCTCTGAGGAGAATGAGAGTAGGGTCCTCACAGAAGTTTTGAGCTGAGGTGACTGTGGATGAAAAGTTAGACGAAGATTAGCCTGATCAGGACCCAAAATTTTTGAAAACTTTTCGAATCCTGATCGCAAACCGACACAAAGCAGATTCGGGAGATCGAGTGAATTTCTCCATTCCGGATCCAGGTTGACCCTCATTTTTCTGTTTGCTCTGCGCGGAGTTCCCCGTGCTCTGAGCCCATCAATGACCCATCGATCCCAGTGCTTCTCCCATCAAGCGAGTATTCCATCGGATTGAGATGATGTTCGATAAAGTCATCTTCTTCTCTGAGAGCCGTGCTCGCGATGATTCACTCGATGCAGACTGCGATGAGGATTTCGGAAAAAGCCGAATCAGATGAAAACAATGCGTTCCTCGGTCACAACGCTCCCCGCAGAGGGAGGCTTGCTACCGTTCCGGAGTTCCAAAATTCGACGGAAGTGGATCATAGACTCGGCATCTCTTCCTATCGTTTCCCGCTCTGGGATCTCTGAACATGCTCGGTCGCTCTCCGAATGCGGAGGATATGGAGGATGTGGAGCCAGACCGTGCAACTCGACTAGTCTGGAAGCTGGCTCAAAGGCGATCGATGCTTCCCAAGGTATCTCACCATGTTGTACGGAGCCGATTTTCCGTTTTCTTTATTTTATTTTTTCAAGAATCCCCACAGGAAATCACGAACAGCCTCGCCCTACTTCCTTTAGCGATGCTCGAAGTAATTGATAAAGGAATCGAAATCGAGGAATCTCGGATAGCGGTCTTGCTCAGTGGCCGAACGGAGCAGCTGGGGCCGGTGGAACATAGCCGTCACTTTGTAAAGTCGTTTACCGCCGCCATTGTTCACCGTGGGAGCGATACGTCGAATCTCGTCTGGTCCACTTTCGAGTCCTGGAGGAGTTTCCCTTTGTTTTCAGCTAGTCGATATGAATGTATGATATCTCCACCATACTTGAGAAATTAGGACCGACAGTTCCTTATCGAGAGGAAACCTTCTCGTCGGAATAAAATTCTGGGAGGATGATGAATCGGTGTCAATACTTGAGCATGAGACCGATGAAAACAATGCTGGAGTTCCATCGTTCCATCGGGATGTTCCATGGGATCATCTACTGAACGAGCGCCGGGCTTATATGCACGAGGACAAGCGACTAAATACCTCTCGTGGACCCTGCATCAAGCGCGTGTGCGTAGTCTTTCCGATATTTTGTCAGATTATCTTCGAAGCCGATGTGTATTGACTCGATTCTACTTCCGAAAAGGTATCTCGCGGCTCGGATCGAGGCAGCGTTCCGATCGGTAATTTCTGATTCTCGGAGGGGAACGGAAGAAATATTATATTCCAGACAAAACGCTGGTCAAACGACGGCCGCATCCAGTGGGGATCCAGGGGGGATCCGACGACGGCTTACTGAAGTCCGGATAATTGCCTGTCAGCTTTGAGATAGCGATCACACCGGACAAAGTTGCCAAGTCGGTACGCTCGACGAGCCGTTTCGATGTCGCTGTGAGCGAGTGAGTCAAACCATCGCTTGAAATTTCACGCTACCTCACAGCGTCGCAGTCAGCGCAACAAGCTTTCCGGGGCGATCTTTATTGCCGATTCTATCAACAAGAAGAGCAGAAATGTCGCGAGTAAACTTTAGGAGAAAAACGTCGCCTTTTTCTAGCGGAAATGAAGTCCCGCATGTGGCATTGCTGCATTCATTTCTTCCCCTTCGATCTTGCGCTGCATCACACGGATTGTAGCGCTCAGCTCGATCTGTCGCGTCGATGAATTGATCAGCAAATCGATTATGATGCTGCGATGTATAGTAGAATTATTCTCACGCTCGACTCGGGTTTCATATGAGCCGTTTGGACCTCGTCTCACGAACGGAATTTCGGAAATGCTAGTCGTTCCCCGACGTTGTAGCGAAACGCTTGAACTCCGACAATAATAATTGGAGTCGATGTTGTCCAAGCTGGGGCGTGTTGGCTCCGCTTTTGCACGGAAACCCCACCGCTCGATCGCTCTCATGACAGGACCGAAAAAATTGCGGTTCAGCGCCTCGTCTCGAATGAAGTGGCTTTCCAGACTCCCCTCATCCGAAGCTACACACCTGACTAGCTTCAGGGAGATGCGACAAACATTTCAGCGGAAGAGTTTAGAACCATGCGACACGTCGATGGGGAAACTACTCAGTAAAACGCGTGGACGAATGCGTCGTTTTTCCCCACAGTGTATTCAGAACCGAAGCAGGTGGCTCTCTGACCAATGTTGTTTTTCTGCACAGCGGAAGCCCACCTCCTTCGGCGCAACGTTGCATCGCGGAGCCCAACCTGCGAGTCCGTTCGAAGTAATCAGATCGCTGTCGGTCGCGCGCTGTTTGAAAGTCCTTTTTCCTGTTTTTTTTGTTTGCTTCTGCCTTCTCCATGGGCGCCGATTTTCCCACTTTGTCTCTTCCTCTATGCTGAGAACCGAGAGGAGAACAAATTTCGGATCACAATGAAATGGCGCGTTTGAATGTTCCCAGGCCGAAGTCATCCGCCAGTAAGTGGACAGCATCAGCCGGTGAAGAACGACTTAAAACGATGTCCCATCGCTTCCGGGTGGGAAGTTTACAGACAGAATGATAGGGAGTTGCGACCGATTCGAAAAAGGAAAAATGAGAGATCACGGGAACAAAGCGACAGGCGACTCCGACTCCCTACGACATCGTTTAAATTTCCAATTCTTCAGCGTACGGCGCGAATCTCACGCACCTGTCGACGAGGGTTCGACGATCTCCTCACGAACGTCGGTGAATATCCTTTCCTGGGAAGATATCAATCCGCTCAGATTGGAATCATCATTCATCATCCGATCGTTGGGATCTTCAGTGCATACACAACCTTCCCCAATGACCGTCGACGATGCCAGACTTTGCAAATCTTGAATATGACGCTGCTATCTGGATTGGCATTGCGGCACCCACAGATCGACACGCGTCTCCTCAATTTTCGGTGGCAATTAACTATTTATATTGCCTCTATCGCGATGGGATTCTGGCGGCCGAAGGGGAACGAGTGCTCCCGATTTTTCCGGAAGAGGTTCAGTGAGCCAGTGGGTCCTTCTGTGCCTCACCATGGGAGGTAAGAATCCAGACCACATCGACTGCGAGATCCGGAGACGAACCTCCCCGATTCCCGCACGTGATGTATTGGAGAAGCCAGACTCGTCTGGCTTCTCCAATACATCACGGCGATAGGACGGCGGGCTCGCCAGGCGTCGGGCTCGACATTTGACGCTAGAACCTGCGTTAGGACAAGGTGCAGCGGGAGAGCTGTCAATGAATGTCTCCGTGAGAAGTCCGAGTCGCATGGACTAGTGGCCGGCGTAACAGGATAGACGAAGGCCTGATCCCGATGGTAGTGAGACCAGCACCCACGTCGAACCAACAAACAGAAAGGAAAGCTCGTAAGCAATCCCAGCATTCGGTGTCATGACAAAGACAACGCTCAATGAATCAAGAGAATGGCGCCCCATGAAGGAGGCGAGCTTAATTGTCTTCCGTTGGCTACCTGTAGTTTGGATTGTTCGAGTTATTGCGATATTCTGTCAGAGGTCATCCGAAAGTTCGTTGCCATACGGGCCGTGACGGTGGGATGCACTCACAATTATCACCACCGACATCGGGAGAATCTTCAACGTGGTATCTTGCTTCGGAGACGCCATGCTCTCTGCAGAAGGCAAAAGGCAGAAGGGCTACTGGGAATCTTCCAGCGAGAGCTAGAACTCGTCCACCGCTCCCTGCTTCGTGGTCGTGGAGAGTTGGGAACGATTGGGAAATAACGAAACGAAGAGAAACGGATGGCCCGGTCTGCTGCTCCCATAAGGTGTATGCTTCCGGAGTGTTGAGTATTTTTGGAGATTTCCGAATTCCTCAGTCTTTCTCGGGCAGCAAATGAGAAGCAATGATCGAAGGTTTTTCGGAATGGAACAGTTTGGTGTTCTCTCAGTAAAAGAATATTCGTACCCCGCTTGTAGCTGGGCCGTATTATCAGTCTCGATCGCATTCAAAAAGGTCAAACACAATGCTGGACGGCTGAATGTTGATCCGCCTTGAGCGAATACTTACCTCTGTGATCCGATGCCACTTGACGCCAATTATGGAAAATTGCAACAACGCAGAGCCATTCGTACAAGCTCGAAGCCTATAGAACAGTACTACGAGATCGGTATCTGACACCGCCGTGCGGAAGAATTTGCACCAACTCGCACACTGGCAACTAAACAGCTACGAATACAACGACAGTAACGACTGTAATTTGCTGTTGA